AATAATTGTCCCATTCACAATGTCTCCGCCACTTTCCCTACAGTTCCAATACTAATCATATTATCTTCCCATTGGATTGATTTTATTGAATTGTTTCCCAGTTAACCTTTTTTATTTGTTTATGAGATAAATACAGGGAGTTCAGCAGATCAGCAAATATTTGACATGAATTGGAAAAACCCTATAAACTTCCCATCTGAATTCATTCAGCAGGTATACAAAGAACCTTTTTTTAAGCAGCTCTGGAATATATCAGTAAACCATTTTTAAAAGTTAGACCTAAAATATCACCCCTCTGCTGGTGCCTGGTGGTATTAATTCTTCAGACTGAAACAGGCTTGAAAGGAAGTTCAGCCTTAGTATGTTTTCACTTGATTGTAAGTGTTTGGTCAAAACAATGAGGCTGGCAATACAACAAAAGATCTTGCAGCTCAATCTGCTCAAAAGTAAATCCAGTTCTCTTTCACACAGCTGAATATAATCGGCTTTGAACTGGACTATATGGCAGTGTGGACTCAGATAACCCAGTTCAAAGCAGATATTGTGGGATTTTCTGCCTTGATATTCTGGGTTATAGGGCTGTGTGGAAGGGTCCTCCTTTAATGTCAGTGGTGTGACACGAAAGGTAGGGTTGCAATCTTAGGCAAAACCACACACTTTGTAAATCATTTTTCAGTATAGGAACACAAGAGGGTACTGTATCTCATGGTATTTCTACTTATGCTGTAGACACAGGTTAACAGACTTCAAATGAGCTCCACGAGTAACTCAAATTCCTTTGCCCCAAAGATTTCAGCGAGGATTCACACATCTAATGGTTGTATTTTTAACAGCATTATTTAGCTATGAACATTTGTGAAGAGAGGAAATCCTGCAAAAATAAAAAAGGAATGCGTACTAAAGAGTCTCTTGTTCCTGGATTTCTATTAAGACATTGAGGGCTCTTTCACACAGCCATATAACACAGAAAATCCCACAATATCTGCTATGAACTGGGTTATCTGAGTCCACACTCAGATAATGTGGGTTTGTCTGCCTTGATCTTCTGAGATATAGGACTGTGTCGAAATGCCCTGTGCTGCTTGGAGTAGAAAACTGAAATACTGGGATTTTCACCCTGAAGTTCTTCTTTTGCAACTAAAACAAACAGGTTGGGATGGGGGGTTAAAGTGAGGTTACCCAGCCTGTGTATCCCCATGGGGCTCTCTCCGAAGGGCATTCCTGCCATGTGATGAAGCCCCCTGGGTTCAATCTGTCTCTCTCCTTTTCTACCATCCTTCAAGGCTGCCAAGACCTGTCATGGGAAGCAGCTGCCTGGCTTTGGCTCTTGCTTAGTGTTGCCTCAATCACACCAACAGTGAACTCCCTGAAGCCTTTCTCCTAGAAGTCAAAATCAGGAGGGGTTGAGCCATGAACTCCAAAGGCATTATGTAGATACATCACCTTGTGGCATCTGAAGGAGGTGCGACAATTAGTTTGGGAGGTGGGATATTTGGGAACTCAAGGTTTATATGAATTAGACCTCAAGGGAAAGGCATATATAGATGTACTAATTGAGGGTATAGATTGGGAAGTAGGCTTGTGTTTTTAAAAGGATGGAAAAACAGATATATGAAGGAGATTCCACCTGAACATTAGGAAGAACTTCCTGACTGTGAGAGCTGTTTAGCAGTGAAGAAGAGAAGGCTGAGAGGAAACATGATGGTCATGTGAGGGAAAGTCCAAGGAGGGAGGGAGCAAGCTTGTTTTCTGCTGCCCTGGAGACTAGGATGAGGAACAATGGCTTCAAACTACAAGAGAGGAGATTCCATCTGAACATTTGGAAGAACTTCCTAACTGTGAGAGCTGTTCAGCAGTGGAACTCTCTGCCCCTGGAGTGTGATGGAGGCTCCTTCTTTGGAGGCTTTTAAGCAGGGGTTGGATAGCCATCTGTCAGGGGTGCTTTGAATGTGATTTTCCTGCGTCTTGGCAGGGGGTTGGACTGGATGGCCCACGAGGTCTCTTCCAACTCTATGAGTCTATGAAGATATGAAGTCTGGAGGTGCCACCATCATAGGGCAAACCAGGTTCATCCAACATTGGGTTGTTGTGCAATGTTCCAGAAGCATTCTCTCCTGATGTTTTGCCTGCACCTATGGCAGGCACCCTCAGAGGTTGTGAGGTCCTCTGAGGATGCCTGCCATAGGTGCCTGCCCTCAGAGGTTGTGAGGTCCTCTGAGGATGCCTGCCATAGGTGCAGGCGAAACGTCAGGAGAGAATGCTTCTGGAACATGGCCTCCAGGGGCAGAGGGTTGTGAGGTCCTCTGAGGATGCCTACCATAGATGCAGGCGGAACGTCAGGAGAAAATGCTTCTGGAACATGGCCACACAGCCCGAAAAACTCACAACAACCCAATGATTCTGGCCATGAAAGCCTTCGACGATGCATCCAGCATTGCCCACCACCCCATGAAGGCACAGGCTGGGAGGGATGGCAGGAGGGACTAAGCAAAAGGAGGGATGGCAGGAGGGGCTAAGGGAGAGGGAGCCACAACCCGCTCCACCCCAGCGATCCTAAAACCTGAGGCAATGCCTTCAGTCCTTGCCTTTCCCTTTCCCTCCTGGAAGCTGCTTTCCTTTGCCTTCCTCGCAAACCCAGCTGAGCTGCGATGGTGGCTCCGCAAAGCTTTGCAGCCCAAAAAGGAGAAGGCAAACTTCGCCATCTCAGCTTGGATTCCCTCCCTTCTCTAAGAGCAAAACTGTTTCGCCTCCCCCTAGAATGAAAACATCGTTCTCTGTGCGGTTTGGCAAGTTTCTCCTCTCTCTGCTGAAGGTTGGGAAAGGAAGTGCGGGAGAAATAGGGGAATAAATGCCTTAACATAAAACCCCTTCCGTTTTTTCCTCCAGGAAGCCAAGACAGAGATTAGCTTGCCTTTAAGGCGGGCGGGTTCTTAACGCCAAGTCGGGCCAGGGCCCTTTTCAAACTTTTGCTTCTGGGCTGGAAGGTTCTGCTCTGAAGGCTCCCTCGGTGCCTGGCAGATGCGCCTCATGGAGATCGATTAGTATCAGGATCTCCAAAGGAAAGCACGGTTGCCTGCCTGCCAAGAGCTCTCTCTCTGGATTGAAGGGTCTTCCTCGGAGAGGCGGATCTCCTTCAACCGAAGACCTTCCTCTTGGGCAGCCTGGAGATCCCAAGTTGCGACAGGCAAGGGCTAATCGGGGCTTGGGATTTCCAAGCACCCGAGGAAGGGGACCAAGCCTGGGAGAAGAAGCTTATGCTACAATCTCTGTCTCATAAAAAGCATCTCACACTCCAGGCGAACACACCGATGTACTTTCCGACGCTGGCGAAAAGGGCGTGATCAAGAAACACAACCACCATCCTTGTGACAGGGCTGCTGTGAGTTTTCCGGGCTGTCGGGTCATGTTTGAGAAGCATTCTCTCCTGACGTTTGTCCCTCAGGCACCCTCAGAGGTTGTGAGGGCCAATCAGGGCCAGTTTGTGTGCGTGTGTGTGTGTCAGGAACGACTTGAGAAACTGCAAGTCGCTTCTGGTGTGAGAGAATTGGCCGTCTGCAAGGACGTGGCCCAAGTTCACTTGGTAGCTAACACCTCCCAACAAAGGATTCTCCCAGGTAGGGAATAGCCAGGCTTTGAAGCTGCAAGGCCATTAAATGCTAATCAAGCTGGCCAATTGCGATATTCACTGGGTCCTTCCACACAGCCCTATATCCCGGAATACCAGGACAGAAAATCTCACAATATCTGTTCAGCAGTGGAATTCTCTGCCCCGGGGTGTGGTGGAGGCTCCTTCTTTGGAAGCTTTTAAACAGAGGCTGGGTGGTCATCTGTCGGGGGTGCTTTGAATGCAGTTTTCCTGCTTCTTGGCAGGGGGTTGGACTGGATGGCCCATGAGGTCTCTTTCAACTCTATGATTCTATGATTCTATCTGCTTTGAACTGGATTATCTAAGTCCACACTCAGGTAATGTGGGCTTTTCTCCCTTGATATTCTGGGATATAGGGCTGTGTGGAAGGGCCCAAAGTTGTCTCAGGCAGACAAGAGTTCTTTCTCCCACCCTGGACATTATTGCACAGATATATAAACGCCACTTGCCTAGTTTCCAACAGACCTCACAACCCGCCTGCCATAGACGTGGGCGAAAGGTCAGGAGGGAATGCTTCTGGAGCATGGCCAGTCAGCATGGAAAACTCACAGCAACCCAGGATCCTTCCACACAGCCCTATATCCCAGAACATCAAGGCTGAAAATCCCACAATATCTGCTTTGAACTGAGTTATCTGAGCCCACACTCAAGATAATGTGGGATTTTCTGCCTTGATACTCTGGGATATAGGGCTGTTTGGAAGGGCCCAGTGAATGTTGCAGTTGGTCAGCTTGATTAGCATTTAATGGCCTTGCAGCTTCAAAGCCTGGCTATTCCCTACCTGGGGGAATCCTTTGTTGGGAGGTATTAGCTACCAAGCCTTCCACAAGGATGGTAAACTTGGGCCACGTCCTTGCAGACCGCCAATTCTCTCACACCAGAAGCGACTTGCAGTTTCTCAAGTCGTTCCTGACACACACACACACAAACTGCCTGGGGGAATCCTTTGTTGGGAGGTGCCTTCGACAACGCATCCTTGTGTTCCTATTATTATTACTACTCGCCAAGTGAGTCCTGAGGACCCGGAGGAAAGGCGGGACCGATCAACATGATAACCACCATTCTTACTACTTTTATGATGACTATTATGAGGACTATTCGCTGGGTCAATGACTTCGGCTACTGCCCGCAATGGGACTTCTTTCCCCGGGCAAAGAAGCCTTCCTTCCCCAGCCTCGCTCTCCTCTCCAGCTTGCCAGCTTCTCCTCTCTCTCTCTCTCTCTCTCTCTCCACCTCCACGGGAGCCTTTGCCCGTCTCGGAGGGCAGACAGGGCTATCTCCAACAGACAGACAGACAGATAGAGAAGGCCACTGGGAGCTGCTCCATTGCTCCGAAACAAGACGGGAGGCTTACCTTGAGCAGCGGCGGATCCGGGGCTGCTGGCGCCCAGGATGGCTAAGGCGGGCAGCACCACCATCTGCAGCAAGTATCCCAGTCCCAGTCCGTAGCGGGCAGCGGCGGCGTCCAGCCCTTTCCCCATGGTGCGAGGAATGGGAACGGGGAAGCCACCGAGAGCCCTCTTCACCCCACGGAGTCAAGGGTCCCGCGACTTTCCTGAGAGGAGAGTCCCCGGGGAAAGTCCGCGAGAGAGGGAGAGCGACGGATCGGAGGCTCCTCAAGCCCCCACTCGGGCCAGACTTGGGCCAAAGGGGTGTGGAAGCCGCTGCTCCGAGTGCCTTCCCTCCTTCCCTTCCAGCCTCTCTTCTTCAGCCGCCTTGGCTCGGGCGGTAGACCCAGCTGGGGCTTCTCCTCCTCCTCCTCCTCGGCTCCTGCTGCTGCTGCTGCTGCTTCTTCCTCCTCCTCCTCAGAAGCGAGAAAGACGGGCTCCAGGCGGCGGCGAGGGGACCAGGAATGGTCATTTCATAATCCGGCCCCGAAGAAGTCTGAAGGAGATGGAGGTGGCACGAGCTGGGGCTGAGACGGAGAAAGAGGAGGAGGAGGAGCAGGGAGGAGGAGGAGAGGAGCCACCGGCAGCATCCTCCCTGAACTCCAGCTGCTGAGAGAGAGAGAGAGAGAGAGAGAGGAGGCGGCGCGCTGCCTCCCCTCCGCCTTTTGCCTCCGCGAAGGTTGTCCAGTCCACGAGCTGCAAAGCGGAGCCCAGCGAAGGCACTCGCTGCAGGAACCAATGGAGCCGGGCTTCTCCAAAACCGAGGATGGATTCGCGGAGCGAACTGGCTCCTCCCTGTGGCCGCTCCAGGAGGAGGAGGAGGGCAGCCACCCGACTAGGGACCCCCGTCGCCGCCCTTCAGCATCCTTCCTCTTCCCACCTTACACGCAGAGCCAGTTAAAGGGAGACCGGGATCGTCTCCATCCAATCAGTTGCGGCTAAATACCTGCAAAAGTAGTATTCTGAATTACAGTGTGGAAGAAAATGCATGCTCCTCCTGAGCAGCCCGTGAAATATGGTTGAACACGAGCCATGGGCAAACTTAGGCCCTCCTGGTGTTTTGGACTTCAACTCCCACAATTCCTAACAGCCGATTGGCTGGGAGTTGAAGTCCAAAATATGGAAGGCCCAAGTTTGCCCATGACTCATGTTCAGCCATGTTCAGGTTTCCTATGAGGCGGTGAGGTGGTATCCACCTGGTCCACCTCACCCACAATCATCCAAAGAGGCAGACTTTTTTATTGTCAAAGGCTTTCATGGCCAATCACTGGGTTGTTGTAGGTTTTTCCGGGCTATATGGCCATGTTCTAGAGGCAATTTCTCCTGACGTTTCGCCTGCATCTATGGCAAGCATCCTCAGAGGTAGTGAGGACCTCACTACCTCTGAGGATGCTTGCCATAGATGCAGGCGAAACGTAAGGATTACAACCTCAACCGCCTCATACGAAACCTGCTACAAAACAGGAGCTTTTTTGTTGAGTTCCAGGGCCAGAGAAGCAGATGGCGGAAACAGAAGAACGGCCTGCCTCAGGGGAGTGTGCTTGCTCCGTCCATGTTCAACATCTACACAAATGACCAGCCACTGCCAGAAGGGACAGAGAGTTTCATCTATGCTGATGATCGTGCCATTACTGCTCAAGCAGGGAGCTTTGAAATGGTAGAACAGAAGCTTTCCGAAGCTCTAGGTGCTCTTACTGCCTATTACAGGGAAAACCAGCTGATCCCCAATCCATCTAAAACACAGACATGTGCCTTTCATCTCAAGAACAGACAAGCATCCCGAGCTCTGAGGATCACCTGGGAAGGAATCCCACTGGAGCATTGCAGCGCACCCAAATACCTGGGAGTCACTCTGGACCGTGCTCTGACCTACAGGAAGCACTGCCTGAACATCAAGCAAAAAGTGGGTGCTAGAAACAATATCATACGAAAGCTGACTGGCACAACCTGGGGATCACAACCAGACACATGTAGACATCTGCCCTTGCACTATGTTACTCTGCTGCTGAGTATGCATGCACGATGTGGAACACATCTCACCATGCTACAACAGTGGATGTGGCTCTTAAGGAGACATGCCACATTATCACGGGGTGTCTGCGCCCTACACCACTGGAGAAATTACACCGCTTAGCCAGTATTGCACCACCTGACATCCACCGGGAAGTAGCAGCCAATAGTGAAAGGACCAAGGCAGAGACGTCTCCAGCTCATCCCCTGTTTGGGTATCAGCCAGCACGTCAACGACTTAAATCAAGAAATAGTTTTCTAAGATCTACAGAGACACTCGCTGGAACACTCAGCAAGCGAGAGTCCAAAAGTGGCAGGCTCAAACCCAGAACCTCAATCCATGGCTGATACCAAATGAGAGACTCTCTCCTGGGCACACAGAAGACTAGGCGACTTGGAAGGCGCTGAACAGACTGCGCTCTGGCACCACAAGATGCAGAGCCAACCTTAAGAAATGGGGCTACAAAGTGGAATCCACGACATGCGAGTGTGGAGAAGAGCAAACCACAGACCACCTGCTGCAATGCACCCTGAGCCCTGCTACATGCACAATGGAGGACCTTCTTGCAGCAACACCAGAGGCACTCCAAATGGCCAGCTACTGGTCAAAGGACATTTAATCAACTACCAAGCTTGCAAACTTTGTGTTTTTATGGATTCACCATTTCCAGACCTTTGGCCATTTTGGCTGCCCTCTTCTGGATGACTTTAATGATTAATAATAATAATAATAATAAGTAATTAGTATTAATAGTAATTATTATTATTTTACTGACACAAAAGCACAGTATGTCGCAGCAAATGAGATCTCTATGCTGGATTTTGTATCAAAAAATCGCAAGTCGAACACTTCCCAAGCGTCTAGGACTGTGTGATGTATTTTCGAATGATGTGCACAGATCCAAGTAAGGTGGCCTTTTGCAGTTGACAGATCGTGATTTTGTCAATCTTTATTGTTTTCAAATGCCGACTCAGATCTTTTGGCACGGCACCCAGTGTGCCGATTACCACTGGAACCACCTCTACTGGTTTATGCCAGAGTGTGTTTTTCTTCTTCGACTGCTTGTTTTACTTGTAATCATCATCATTATTATTTGAAACACAACAAGATGAGTCCACAGACAAGATCACTCTGCTGGCTGTTGTATTGGATCACACGTCGGACACTTCCCAAGTGTCTAGGACTGTGTGATGTATCAGCGAATAATGCTTGCAGATCCCAGTAAGGTGGCCTTCTGCAGCTGGCAGATGGTAATCTTGTCAGCTCCGATTGTGTTGAAGTGCAGGCCAAGGTCTTTAGGCACTGCACCCAGTGTGCCAATCACCACTGGGACCACCTTGACTAGCTTGTGCCAGAGTCATCACCACCACCACCACCATCATTACTCCATAACACTCTGGCACAAGCTAGTAAAGGTAGTCCCAGTGGTGATCAGCATACTGGGTGCAGTGCCTAAAGACCTCGGCCTGCACTTACTCCATGCTGGCAAAATTACCATCTGTCAGCTGCAAAAGGCCACCCTACTTGGATCTGCATGCATTTTTTGCAGATATACCACCCAGCCCTAGACACTTGGGAAATGTCCGACATGTGATCAAATACAAAAGCCAGCAGAGTGATCTTGTTTGCTATGTACTAATCTTGATATGTATCAAATAATAATAATAATTTTATTCTTATATCCCATCACCATCTCCCCGAAGGAACTCAGAAGGCTTACAGTTGGGACCAAGCCCCATAATAACAGAGTTAACCAAATAAAAACACATTTTAAAAGGCTGATCAACCTATAACAAACTGATTAAATGATTATAACAATAAAGAATTAAAAACTTTACAATAAAACGAAACCAATCTCAATATCCAAAACTGGGGCTGCAGCAGGTAATCAAATTAGAGATGGCGGGGCTGGGCATGGACTTATACAAAATAGATTGTAAGGCCAGGGCTGGGGGTCAACCAAAATCAGAGACGGCTGGGGCTGGGCATGGGCTTGTGCAAAGTAAATTGTAGTGCCAGGGCTGGGAGCAAAGTGCTGTGTTCAATCTGAGAGTTCTTTGGGCTTGAATAATCATAAACAAGGGCCTAATAATTGAAAATGTGCATTGGAATATCCATGTTTTAAGATTCCTACAGAAGATAGACAGAGTGGGTGGTAGCCTAATCTCCCTGGGAAGAGAGTTCCAGAGATGGGGAGCCACCACCAAGAAGGCCTTCTCCTTCATCCCACATGATGGTGGCAGGAGGAAGAGAAGGGCCTCCCTAGAAGATTTCAGGTCCATGCCAGTTCATAGGGGAAAATGCAGTCACGGAGATAGGCAGGACCTGAACCATTTAGGGCTTTGTAGGTGATGATCTGCACTTTGAATTGGGCCCAGAAACTTATCAGCAACCAGCGMAMCTATTTTAATAGGGCTGTCGTCCGCTCCCTTTAATTAGTTCCCCTTAGCAGTCTGGRTGGCGACCTTTGCACCAGTTGCAGTTTCRGGGCCATCTTCAAAGGCAGCCCCACGTAAAGTGTGTTGCAGTAATCCAGTCTGGATATAACTAAAGTGTGGATCCCCCCCCCCCCCCATCTCCAAGATTTTGGAATACATGTATTTGCAGATAGTTAACGATAATATCTTGGAAGTAGGGCCCAAATCTACACACAACATTCCTTTATGTTTCAGAGATACCTCCTACACCTAGACTAAAGTTAATTTTATACATTTACAAAAATTGTTTTGCACAGGAAAAAAAGTTCATGTGCATTGAACCATCAGAAAGCAAAGGTGTCGCTAACACAGCCACCCAGGTGAACAATTTTGGAATTCTGGATGCTGAACCTGTCATAATAATAAGCTGATAATATCCTGACTTAATGACAGCAAATTAAAGTTATTTTCATCTGAAGCATGCAAAAAACAACCAAACAGTATTACAACAGAGTCAAACTATTAACTATGGGTCTCCTGCTTTATTCATGCACACTTACACCTCTGCTAAAGAGTATGCATCAAGGGATGCCTGGCTTGACAGCAGTACGTGTGAAAAAGGTCTTGCAGCCCTCATGGACAACAAGTTAAACATGAGTCAACAATGTGATTTGACAGCTTAAAAAGCCAATGGGATTTTGGCATGCATATATAGGGATATAGTGTCTAGGTCCAGGGAAGTCATGCCATGTCTCTATTCTGCCTTGGTCAGACCACACCTGGAATCCAATTCTGGGTACCGCAATTCAAGAGAAATGTTGACAAGCTGGAATGTGTCCAGAGGTGGGTGTCTAAAATGATCAAGGGTCTGGAGAACAAGCCCTATAAGGAGTGGCTTAAAGAGCTGGACATGGCTATGTATGTATAAATATGTGAGGGGAATTCATAGGGAGGAGGGTGCAAGCTTGCTTTCTGCTGCTCTGAAGACTAGGACAGACTATCAAAGCAGAAAATCCCACATTATCTGAATGTGGATTCAGATAACCCAGTTCAAAGCAGATATTGTGGGATTTTCTGCCTTGATATTCTGGGATATAGGGCTGTGTGGAAGGGCTCTGGGATGTTGAACAATGACTTCAAAGTGCAGGAAAGGAAATTCCACCTGAACATGAGGAAGAACTTCCTAATGGTGAGAGATGTTCAGCAGTGGAACTCTCTGCCCCAGAGTGTGATGGAGGCTTCTTCTTTGGAGGCTTTTAAACAGAGCCTGGATTGCCATCTGTCAGTGGTGCTTTGAATGTGATTGTCCTGCTTCTTGGCAGGGGG